GCCCCATGAGGTACAGAACAGGGGCAGAAGGGGGCAGATGGTAGGAAGAGCGGGGTACAACTGGGTGAGGTCTTGTCACTGCTGCCCTTAAATGGCACCATCTAGATCAGTGATTTTCAACTTTTTTAGTCTCGAGGCCCCCCTCCCTATCTTTTATGAGTTTAGATCTTTTTGTTCAGGGGTTAGGTGTTAGGGTTTAGAGTGAAGTATGCTGCCAATTTTAATCCAGAAAGGAAGTGTGCCCAGGTAGCAAAAGTTTGGGAAACACTTCTCTAGCACTTTAAACCCCAGGAACATCCTAAAAGCCTGCTCAGGAACAGGTCCCTCTTCAGATGATATAAATACTGAAAAGATGCTGAATTCTGCCCTTTTTGGGAATAGAAAAGTCACTGGGAAATAACAGAAGTCATTGGGAAAATGTAAGTTTCACAAAAATAGTAAACTAACAGCCTTCCATTGTATGAATGGGGAAACTGAGGCCAGCTGCACTGTTAGGAGCCCAAGCATGAACATTTTGGTCCAAGCCACATGTCTGAATTTGTGGTGAAGTCCAGGTGTGAGCCCAGGTTTTCTGATGTCTCTTTCTGTGTTCAGTTAACAAATCATGCCAAAACCACCAGAAGAGTACTGTGATTTTAGGTGCAGTGTTTTGGAAAGGCAGTGTAGGAAAAAAACAAAACATTTTATCAGAAAGAGTGCATCTCAGATAACATTGCCTGCTGGCAGCGTGTAATCATTGCATTTTTTGAAAAGGTTATAAATATTTATAAAATCCTGTTTGCCTTGGAGAAGGTAGAAATGGTTGATTAGATGCTGTGTGGTATTATTCAAGTATGCTTGACCTTTTGTAATACATAGGCAAAAGATGTGTCATCAAAGCCTTGCTGACATGAGTACTTCTTACTCACACAGATAATCTCATGGTAAACCATGTGGAATTACCTTTGTTAGTAAAACACCAGATGAAAGACTAGAAAAATATTCTCTGCAGGAAATGAAAGTTGTCTCCATTACATAGGGGCATATGCCTGCTAGGACTTATGCATGCTTACTGCCAACTCACAAAATACCCGTTTTTCCCCCCACCAAAATGTGGTAGGGTTGGATATCATTTTTGAAGCTCTCTACATTTTTTGTTATCTCTTCTCTGGGTAAACCTGGTGGCTTTTTGTCTGTCCATAACCTGGGTAAGACAGATGTCCCCTTTTCATAGAGGAAGATGTTAGTTACTTAGAGACACGTAAGCTAACAGCTAACAAACAAGCATTCCCAAGACTGTGACTTTTGGAAGACTGGGCAATCAACTGAGAAAGGAATAGTTCATAGTTATTACAGTACTGTGGGATTCAAGACATCTAGGTTGATTTTTTTGCTCTGCCACAAATGTCTTTTGTGACTACAGGCAAAATCTCTAGATCCTATTTGTACTATCGTATTACCTGTCTAAGTGTTATCTTGTTCCACCCTGAGTGAGTCTTTGAAAAACTGTTAACACAAAAGGTGGATAGGTCCTCCTCTTCCTTGGCGCATTCCTGTGACTCAGTCTTAAGGGCAGGATGACAGCACATTAAAAACAGACAAGATAATGGGTTCTTTTTAGGGATTTGAGGGGGTGGAATTGGGTCAAGTTTAGGGACAGTTGCCTTTCTCCTAATAGATAGGATAGGATCTGGTCCTTTGTCTTTCCTTGCTACGGTTCCTTTTTCTCTAAAATGGCAGTAACAATATTTCTATAGGGGTGAGTGGGGAGGGGAAATAAAAATAAACATCTTCCTTCTCTCCTGTCTTCATTAAACCTGAATTTTTCGTATTTCTTCCCATCACCACAGCATAGTCCATATATGTTTATTGAGCTACCTTCTGAGGCTTTTCATCTCGCTTTTAGGGATGTGAAAGGTTAAACATGTAAACAATAAGTATATTTATTCCAGTAATGCATTACCAGTTAACATTTAGTGTGGGGCACAGTCTGGTGGAGAAGGGAAGTGGTACGGTGCCTCAGGAATATGAAGGTGGCAGTGCAGACAGGAAGAAGGGAGGGAGGGAGGAAGGAGCAAGGAGGAAGGGAGAGGAAAGGGAAGAGGCAAGGGGGGACTAATATCCATAGCTAGTCTACTCCCTCCTTCCCAGCACATCAGCAGCTGCAGCAAGCTGGGAAAGCGCCTTGCCTGCTACTACCATCCATGACTTCATGTGGGCAATGCTGTCTGGTGCAGCTTGACACTGCCTCCTCCCCACCCTGTCAAAGGTCCCAGGGAGTGCCTCCCAGCCGCAGCTGTGTCCCACCAGGTCTGTATGTGGCCCCCAGTTCCCCATCATGCTCCAGGCAGGCAGCTGTGGCCCTTCCCCTGCAGTGGGGTGAGGCAGGGCAGGTGCCAGTCCAGGGATCTGTATTCCATGGCCTGGACTAGGTGTGTTATCATTTAACTGTTTAACTGATGTAATAAGAGGAGGTTAAATGGATAATTTTTAAAAAGTATTTTCATCCCTACTCTCTTTGCCCTCCCACTGACTATGGGGTCCAATTTCTAGCCCTGCAGACAGCATGGCTGAAACATCACCAAAGTTGTGGTGCACTTGGTAAATGTTTGGGACTTGATCCTGCTCTGTTTGAAGTCAGCAGAGTTTGATGGGAGCTTGTCTGAGGTTCTTTAAGGTTTAGGTTTTTGCAAGCCCTTAAGGAAGATGAACAAAATGGTAGTTGAGAGTAATCCTTGCTGTCATAAGTTGTCAATTAACTTCACTGGTCACTTGGGAAATAAACTTAATAGGATTGATCATATGAGCGAGGGGCAGTGATCTGCGAGAGAAATGGAATCAAACAGCTTTCCAAATATGTAAGTATGTATTTTAATTAGCATATGCTCACAGAACAAATAGGGCTGCCAACTGCCATCTATATAGAAGACAGAATTTGGTTTGGCATAAATAACATGATTCAAAATTAGCACAGTGGCATTGAGAAAGTTTCTGAGACTTCTTGACTTATTTTTCTAGGAAACTGTATTAATAGTAGTGTTATCTACTGGACAGAGAAGAGTTTCTATAGCAACTGATCAAATTAAAACTATCCCTTCAGAATAGACTTCCCAGAACTTCTTGGCTTTTGGAAGTGTGTTTGCACCAACCTGTTAGTCACAGAATGAATGAGCAGTTTTTAAAATGTTGCCTCTGGTTGGTCTGAAGAAAAAAAAACCTTAACAACCAGCATTCTTCATTTCCTGTAAATTCTCCTGTGAAACTGATAGATCAGTGGCTGCACAAATCCTCTTTTAATGGCTGTAAAAATTGTAAGAGAACAATGAAAGCTGTATATGTGTGTGTGTGTTTGAAGCAAATGGAGCATGCATTTTTAAATCTTGTGTGGACTATTCCTTATTTTGTGTGTGTACTTCAGATAGAGGATATTTAGCTAGTGTTTAGGAAAATGGCTACATTGATTCATAGTTTTTATGCTCCATATTTTCTCTTCTGTTCAGTATAGAGTTTGATAGCAACTGAGTTCTTATCCCAAGTAATATAAAGATCAAATAAAATATGTAATGCCATAATTTTGGCCAGTCCTTTACAACAATAAAGAATGTGGTCAAATTCTGATCTGTGACACAGGTAGAAATTCAGAGTAACTGAACTGAAATAAATATTAATCTGCAGTTGTTACAATATAAGGTACATGATCAGTACCTGGTGTATGAATTGGGTAGACTAGGAAACTTGTGCTCCTGACATTGTCTAACTAAGGCTTCAACAAAACTTCGGCTCAATGACACCTCACCTTCTGGCAGTCACCCCTCCCATTCCATCCTGACTTCTCCTTAATGTAATGAGGTCCCAGCTTCTAACCAAGTCCCCCCTCCCCTTTCCTTTCGTTTCCCAGAAAGTGACCAGGCTTGGCTGGGTTGCCAAACATACAAGCAGGGATTTTCAAGGACCTTGTAGATTGCACCTGGAAGATGAGAAGTCTAGTGACGCATCTTCCAGGAAGACAGAGAGGTTTGAAGGAAGGTTCAACAATAAGGGGACAACTAACTAGTATATATTTCAATGAAGTACGATACATCTGCATGGGTATCTATATAGGAACTGGCAACTGGTCTTCTTGTAAAATCATTGAAATACAATTGGTTTCTATAGTTGTTCATTGCATAAAATAGTATAAAAGATTTAAGTGTTCAATCACATGTTTGGGGCAGATTCAGGGCAGGGTTGGGGGTGGAGGAGGCAGTGGTGCAGTTGCACCCCACCTTTGATTCCTGCTCTACCCAAACTTTAAAACCAACTGCCTCAGAGGGGTAGCAGCCCTTCCATTCAGGCAGTGCTGAGAGAGTTAATTAACTTCATGGCTTGTTATAATCTGTTTAGTCCATAGTTTATAATGACTCCTCTCCTTTTTAATGATATTGATATTCCACTATTCAAATGATCCTTTCTTCTGCATTTTTTCTGTCTGTTAGTCATTTTATCGTCTAGATCATGCAAGCACAGGCAAAATGAAGAAGAAGGCAAGGAGGGACCAAGCTTAAAATGGCCACATACAATTCTTTTAAATAACGTTTGGTTCTCCAAGCTTGGAGGGCTGTTGGAGTCATGATGGTCAAGGAAATATACAAGTGGCAAGGGTCTGTGCATGCTATCTTTTATTGGACCAACTGTATCAACCTTGCAATCCAGTTGGTCCGGTAAAAGATATCGCAAAAAACCCTTGCTTCTCATACTAGTTCCTTCATTTTGTCTTACACAAATGTGGGTTCACATTTGTGGACATTTTTAGTAATGCTTTTTGCCATACATGGAGGACACAGTCTGTTGAGACTTCTCACATTATTCCATGTTGTGTTGTTTATATTTTCCAGAGCCTTCACTCTGAGGCTTTTAACATGCCATATTTTGTTTTTACTTATTCTCCTTTAAGCAACAGAAAATGTTTGTTATATTGTGGGACACCTTCCTACTGAAGTTTTCTTCACCAGGTTCTTCACAGCCTGTCTTTTCTACTACAGGGCAGTGCCAGCGAGGCTACCTTGGTTTCACTGCTTGCTGCCAGAACCAAAACAGTCAGGCATTTTCAGCTGGAAAACCCTGAACTAACAGAGTCAGACATCATGGGCCGGCTGGTGGCTTATGCTTCAGATATGGTAAGCACATCTATTCATCTAAAAATGGTTATAACTTTTTTTTTCTTGCTTAAAAAAAAGGAAGACATCCTGCTGTACAGATTGCTTAGACTGGGCTCTTTGCTGAGAAGTTTGTTATTTGATTATGCTTGTCTAGCATCTACAAAAATTGGTCCATATTTGGGGTTCCTAGATGCTATCTCAATACAAAAAGAAGTGAGTTAAAGCATTATAATGTTTCATACTTAATATTAGATTTGCAAGGGATCCCACTGAAGTTAAAGATGTTGCTTGTGGTGTAAAATACTAACCATAATGAGTATTACACAATGTGGGTCATAATTTAACAAATTTGCTCAATGCACACATGCATTTCCTCATACACCCAATAAGTTCCAAGGAACTGGGCTTTAACACCTAAAGAAGGAAGCTGCAATAGGTTTAAAAAAAATCCTACTGGAGTCTAAGCAAGTTCCTTCCACGTATTCCCAATACAATCCCTGTTTTCTTGCATTGTATTTAGGAGATTTCTTAGACAAATTCTCAGCCTGGCTGAGGTCATGGAAAGCTCTTGCATCTACAAAAGCAAATCCTAGTCCCTTGGTTCCACTACTTCTATATTTCTAAAACAGCTAATCCTATCAAAGGAAGGGAAGCAGTGCCACCTCTTCCAATAAGCATGGCATTTTGTTATCTAAATGTCACTCAGATAGGAATGCTCCAAGCACTTGATATTTAGTTAGAACAAATCACTGGTTATAGGGCATAAATTGGGCATCTTTCAGGTTAATCCAGACTTTGCCATCACCATATGTTAAGACATAATGTAATTAAAAGGTATTCGTGCTCTGCTGGGGAAGGGTGGACTGTTATGGTGCAGACGATATGAGAACAATCAGGATACGAAAGGGTAGAAAAAGAGCACAGTCATTTTTAAAAGGCACAAAATGGTCCTGTGTTCTCTTTGAACGCATGGTGTGCAGATGGCCAGACACAGAGCCCTACATCTGAGGCACTAATGAGGTAGGCCTCACTGTTGTTTTCCCCTTTTTGTTGTAAATGGCTGAACTGAAATGGATACTGACAGCCCTCTTTGCCAGCTGAAGGTCAGGGGATTTTCTGTCTGCTGAAGCATTCGCCTTAAGACATTACTGACCTTTCAAAGCGGATCATTGCTGAGCTGACCGTTCCTTCTACATTAAGCACAGACCTGTGGGACAGATCACCCAGTAATGCAGAAGAGAGAAAAACCAAATGCTTTCCTGAAAGAGGGAGACAACACATTTATAAGGGGTACAGGCATTTTCACAGGGCAAGAATGGAGATAAAAGCTCTTTTCTGGGAGGTAGGAAGCACAGATGTAGACCCCTACCCTCTCTAAACTGGAGCTAGAAGGGGAGCCCATGTCCCCCACATCCCTGGCTACCAGGTTATGAGGTTGTCAGGGGTACAACTAAGATTTAGGTGATCAAGGCTTGACCCTAGAGTGTCTCAACCCAAGAGGATTAAGGAGCAGACAAGGTCCAGACTAAAGGCATGAGACAAGAGGACCAGGAGCAGGTATGTCAGGAGGCCAAGGTCTGTAAGTGATGGAGACATGGGTGATCACTGAGAAAGAGCCATGAGCCAGAGGCGTTACAAGCAGGAAGCATGGATTGAGACCAGCATCACCAGTGCAAAGGGGGTGGGGAAGAAGAACGGCTGACAACAGTAGGTGTAAGGGACAAGGACATCACTAGTCAAAATAAAGCCACAGATGAGGAGTTGGCCATCAAGAGATAAGGGTCTTGACTGGATTCAGGAGCAAGGAGGAGGGAAAGGGCCAAGAGCTGCCAGATCTGGAGCAAAGGGGTCTAAGCTGGAATCTGGAACAAGGAATCAGCAAGCAAGAAGCAGGAAACTAGGAACAAGGAGTCAGAAGACCAAAGCTAGACAGAGACGTCTGTCCTAGTAAGTAGCCTCCTAAGCACTGAAAGAGCAGTTGCTTATAAGCAGGAAGCTATGTGCATGCAGGCAACCAAGGCCTTGTGGAAGTAGTTAAACTGCTGGCAGTCAGGTTCACTGGGTAACCAAGGCCAGCTGGGGGCTAATTAGTTGGCTTGCTGCCTTGAGTCCTTAGTCACTTCCCCAGTTGTCTCACTCATTCCCAAACTTCCTTTTTTAGGTGCCTAAGCTTTTAATTCAGTGCTGTAAATGCCATGGGGTAGCAGAGTAGCAAAGCACCTAAGTAAGAGTTAGAAGCTGTAGCATCTGAGTTCTCTTATGGGCTTAGCCCCAAGATCCAGAATAGCTGTAGGCATTACAGATCTTGCTTCAGCATTCTTGAAAATGGGATGATAATTCCAGAATCCTGCCTACATTTGAATTCATTTAATTGCATTCTGCCCCACAATTTCAGTTGGTTATAATACACCTCTTGCCATCCTACCCTAGGACTAAAGTGCTGGGTTGCTAAGCCCTGTTGAGCAACTATTGCATCCTTCCCTAGAGTTGACCACTTTTCATAGCTAGCTAGTGTTTTCCTCAAACATGGCCCATTATTAAACTGGAAGCTCATCATAGGTTCACTTTAAAAACAAGTCAAATTGAAGCTACTTAAAGTTGAAAGGCAGAAACCCCATCTTTTTCTAGTCTTGGTGAAGCAGGGTTTTGCCATGGTGTGAGTAATCTGCTTTTGATGTCTCAGCATGTGGTACAGCAGGATAGGAAAGAACATCGTATCAACTCTGATTTTTGTTATGTGGGTTTTGACTGACATGACCTTTCATTTAAATCATAGTTACACATTTTATAAGAATTGCACAGAAATATTTTACTCGGTCTCATTACCAAGGTATACATATCTAGAAATATATTGACTCTACAGAATCTCCAGATATAAGGATCTTTTTTGCCACATAAATATTAATAGGAAAGTAGCGAGTGGACCTCAGTTCTGGCAGAAGATGAATGAATATCAAGCGTATTACTTATCTAGTTGGTAAAGGGGGAACAAAGCTTTACTGATGTAACTTAAAGTATACATAGTCCACCAGCATTTTATACTCTGAAACACAACTTCCTAAAATGACTCAATTAGTTGATTTTATGAAAGTTAATTATTTTGATTGCTTTGGTAGAAAATCCTGAGGTTGATAAACAAGCCACCAAATTCTCAGAGTATGCTCAAGCAAAACAATCAGTGGTAATGGGAATATTATTGGCATGGAGTCTGAGCAAGGGTTTCAGAACTTGACCATTCATACTTCATAGTTAAGATGTACATGCATCTTTCTGTACTTAGCATAAAAACCCCCAGTTCACTGAGTGATGGTTCTCAGCTGTGTGGTTTATTGGAATTCAAAAGCATTTCAGTGGAAGGAGCATACTTTAAAACTTGCCTATTTTATTTCAGGCTCACTGCTCAGTGGAAAGAGCTGCATTAATTGGAGGAGTGAAGATGAAAAATATCCCTTCAGATGATAAATTTACTGCCCGTGGATCTGCCCTTCAGAAGGCTGTGGATGAAGACAAAGCTGCTGGTCTCATCCCATTTTTTGTAAGTACTGATTTTAACTGTTTTCACTGATGGACTTACTGCACCTGAAAAGCTACTTTCAAGGGCCAAGTACAGCTATTACACTTTTACCGATATAAATTATTGGAAACTGGTCTATATCCATAACTGAACAGAAGTTCAGCACACACAGACTGGTTTAAAAATGGCAGAACCCAGTCTAAGATTGCCTCCCCCGGTGAACATGTGTTCTGTGTGCTACTGGTCTAAACTGTGCCACTTACAGAAAACCATGTAACTCAGATTGATTCCACCTGGGGCTTTTTGAATGTCTCTGAAAGATAACCAGATGATACTGTATGTAATCTATGGACATAATAGTCTGCAGACTGGAGAGAATATGAATTTGACATAGTGAGTGTTCCACACAGTACACAACTTCTTTGTTGGGTCTCTTTTCTTCATAGGTTCCAGAGAAAAAAGAAAATAACTTAATTTTCTAGCCTACATAGAGTTTAGAAGACTTTTTTTCTATGTGATTCATGTGCGCAATGAACTGTCAAAGAGTAGCTGCACCATTGAATAAGCACAGAGTGAGAAAGGGGCAATTAAAGGAGGAAAAAAATTGGGTACAGACAGGTAGATGGATGCCAGGGAACTTCATGGCTGCTTCCACACCTGAAAGTTTATGTTATATACTCTTACAGTGAACTCCCAAACTACAATTATTACAATCTTTTATATTTGTTTTTCTGTTTTTTGTGCATGCAAAAGAATCATAAAATCAATATGCAAAATGACAGTGTCAGACTTAAGATCAGGAACAATCAAAGCCTTCCCAGAAACTATTAGCCTCAGGGCCATGTTAGCAAATAAAGCAGCCCCACAACCTATTAAGAAGCTTAACGAGATCAGTAGCTGTTAGATAGGCATGCATGTAGCTCCCTCACCTTCCAGTAAGGTGTCCTGTGTTGAGAATAGGATGGAAGTTTGATTGTAACATTAATATCCAGCTCCAACCAGAATTCATGCACAGTGAGAAATGTTCATGCTGTGTGATCTTTTAGACTGGATACAAGTGACTTTTAAGGAGTGTTACTACTTTAATTAAAATAATGCTTCTGAGTCATTGAATATAAAGTATGTGAATTCAGAATATTAATCAATTGCTTGTAACAAAAATTCATTTTATTATGTTTTTTTCCTCCTGCTCGTTCCATAGAGTTAACAAAATAAGATGGTGAACTACATTTTATTCTTGTTCATCATCATCAACTTTTTCAAGTTAATTTCTTATCATCATGGCTATGGAAACTTGCTGAAGTCTGTGGCCTTCATAGGTGTACAAGAGGATATAATATATCCTGCAGAACCTTTTGTGTCTACTGACACCCAAGAAGGAAAAAGCATGTCTTGACTTTCACTATCAGAGATGAAATTTTAGGTTGGCTGTTAGAAAAAGCAAAAAAAAGTAAATGTTGATACTGGGAGAAAATATACAAACTTGATGAGTAGACTTTGCTTTTAGAGTCCTTTTTTCTTCCTTTCTTCTTCTTCTTTGATCATTTAAGGTAAAATTTTCAAATGAGTCTCAGTATTTACACTTCAAATGTGACTTAGACACTTAAGAGAGACTTTCAGTAAGGCTTAGGCTTCAAAGCATTTAAGTCATTTCTGAATACGGAACTTAAATCACTTTAACCTATTTGAAATCCTCCCCCATGCCTTTCTGTTTCAAACTGTTTTGGTTTACTTAGCTTGCGCTCTGGTTTTACCATTGAGACGGTTGAACTGGAGAGCATGAACACAGTGTATTGTTGTTTTGCTGCCATGTAGGAAAGGAATTGAAGGAACCTAGGGAGAGCCTAGAAAAATCTGCCAATGGCTGTGTACGGAGAGATCCCCCCCCCACCCCCCAAAAACAGCTCTCCAGGATGAACAAGGCACCTCTAAGGCTGCTTACATGAATTACTGCCGTGGGGCCTATAGCAGAGGAAATACATCATGCTGGAGGTTTCATTTCTGTCTGTAATAGCACAGTAACTCATATAAGTTGGTTTAATATCTAGCATAAAGGTATCTTGTTTGTTGTTCATTTTAACAATATACTCAGAAGTGCTTACTTTTTATCAATAGGAGTTTGTGGGGGTTTTCCCCTTACATTTTATACTGAAAGTATAATTTTGTAGTCTGCTTCCATGTACTTTTTTAACGTTAAAATAACTTGCTCTGTTCCTCAGACCTTGTCTACGTGCCCACTTCGCAAGTCATCTTTCATAAATATTCATCCTCTCTCAGTGTTTCCAGCTGTAAAAGGAGGAAATCAAACAATCTGTTTATAGATTCAGTGACGCCATTACAAAGGGAGTTTTTTACTGTATTTTGTCTCCTCTGTTTGCTCTGCTTTGAAACATGGGCTTTGAAAGGAAGTATTGGCTTAGCCTGAGTTAATGTGGTCTGTGCCAGGTCTTCCAATTTATTAGTATACATAAAACATGTCAGCTAAGATTAGACTAGATCTCATTATCCTTATTGCCGGCCTCTTTACTGAAAAGGTGTGCTAATTCCCTGTTGTGCTGAACAGCAGTCCATGCCTGGCAGCAGGGCTCCCTTCTTTTGTTTATCAGGTTTCAAAAGCTCTCCAAGTTCTTTTGTCCTTGAGCAAATTGCCACTATTTTATTTTGTTCCTGTGACAAAGATATGCCCTCTACCA